AGCGTGTTTGTGTTACTCCTGCACCACAAAACTTGCATGTGGAATTGTGTGATTGGGTCAGGCCGCATGTTCTGTGCGTGTCTCTGCGGTTTGCTGACGCCATTTTGATTGCGTGTACCTGTGAAAAAAAACAGACGAGAATGGACAGGTAATTCGCTATTATGACACAAGTTGCATAAATGATATGCATGTATGTATTATTTGGTTCATGTGCTCTGTATTTCATTGAAATTGATTCTTGATGCACAGAATTAAGTGTGTACTGGCCTGTGAATGTACAGGCCAGGTTTTTTTCCCCTTGTGAGGATGAACTTTCATGTGGATTTCCATAATTGATGGCGAGCCTCCCACCTTGACTGAAAGGATCACGGACCTGGAATAAAGGACAGTTTTTCATTATAATTTTCTTCAACCAAGTAAGAGAATTGTGCTTCCAGTGACTGATACTATTTTTCTCCTTGGGAACTTAAAATCTGAGAGACATCAGTTCCAGTTTAAAGGAAAAGACTGATCAAACCTTTTAGTCAGATTGACATCTGACTTTGAAAGACTAATTTGCATACCAGTTGCATACTGCAGTTACCCGTTGGTTATCACTAACTGTGGTCATTTAATTTGATTGATTGTGAAGGTGATTTATTGTGTAATGTATAGTTAATTAGCGGGTGCACCCAAGGGTATGGCTATTGTGTTTTGTGTTTTATTGTTTTATGTTTTGAAAAAAAGCACTTACTGAAGAAAAAAAGAAACAAACCCTAAACCATTTACAGTAAAATTTAAATTGTGGTTAACCTACCGATTGCCTCTGATATTTACTCAGCACCACCGCCGCCTCCCATCACGTGCCTTGTTCTTCTGAGTTTGGTTAATTGCCTGGTCCATCAGAGAGAGAACTACCTGTTACAGAGGTGTTACAACAGCATTAAATAAACTGCGTAACTGACATAATCTAGCACGGAGAGAATCTTTATAGAATGTGTCTATAAAGAATGTGATGCAATATGATACCTGGCTAGGGCCTGAGGTCCGCTTTCATCGGGATGGAGCTTTCCCCACAGGCCAATGATGGCACTTCGCTCAGCATCTGTCCACTCAACCATGTCAACGTTTTAGGGTGTCCTTAGGTACTTGCTTAAGTCGAGTAGGAATCACTAGTAGAAATTCAGAAACCGGAGTATAATTTATTGACTTGATGTGCCTCCGCCCATTAAAAGATGCAAAGTCTTATTGGATAATTGCTCTGAGCAGGTGACGCATACATGTCTGGACATCACTGATTGGACCCCGTCTAAAAACCATCTGACATTTTTGTCAAAATAGAGTTATTCACATATTCTTATTCCGTGACAACTTATTTACATTATGTGACAGATTTTTTTAACGTTGTGTACATTTTGGGACTTTTTATTTAAAAAACAAAAAGGTTCTATCTACACAGTCGAATGGAATGCAAAAATTTTGAAGCTCGATATCTCAAAACTACTCGGAATGCAGAACCTTATAATTCCAAGGGGACGAAATGTTGTTTTGTAAGAAGTCTTATACATGAACAAGCTTTTTTTTCTGTCAAATTTTGCTGATCAAATTTGCACCACGCTAATATTACCGCTATATTACCATGAACAAACGTTCATAACAATAAAATGTAGTCATTTTCAGTGAAATAGCAAAATAGCAAAGCACCGTTACAAAAAGATATTTTGATTATAATGCATGGCCAGATGAATGCAATTATGTTACAAGCGTTTTCAACTGATGATGATTTTCAAATGTATTACTTGAAATTAATTTTATTAGACACATCATCCTTTCCAAGAGTTGCACCATCATTTATCAACGTTTTGGGGGGAAAAAAACAATTACACAAATGGGTTTAGTTCATTTGAACAATGTTAATTCTGATTCATAAGTTTAAAATTGTGATTAAGTGAAAATAAAATATAAAATAACTTAATCTGCATAGCGCGTGAAGGGTGTGAATAGAAAATCTTTATCTTAATTAAACGAGAAGCACAAAATTGGCACGCTTTTGATTGGACACCACAGGTTGGGGATCAGCAGTAATGCGTTTAAGGGGTGTGGTTTGGGGTGTGACCTTCTTTAGTTTTATATAAAAAGTGGGACAAAATCCCGTTTTCGCAAACATCTTTTTCTGAAGACAATCTGACTTGAGAAAAAGAAGACGCAGCAATGAGTCTCTCTGATAAGGACAAGTCTGCTGTGAAGGCCTTATGGGCTAAGGTTGGCCCCAAGGCCGATGAAATCGGCGCTGAAGCCCTCGGCAGGTAATATTGGACCAGGCTGTCTTCCTATTTAGGTTAAGATTACTTATTGACAGGTCTATATAGAAAATTCCTAGGTAACTTTGCTAAATAACATGAAAAGTTAATGTTTTCATTTATTCGATTACCTTAAAGTATAATGTTTAGATCACCGAAATTATTATTGTTATTATTTCCTTTCAGAATGCTGACCGTCTACCCTCAGACCAAGACCTACTTCGCTCACTGGGCTGACCTGAGCCCTGGGTCTGCTCCGTGAAGAAGCACGGCAGTGTTATCATGGCTGCAGTCGGCGATGCCATTTCAAAAATAGACGACCTTGTGGGAGGTCTGATGGCCCTGAGCGAACTTAATGCTTTCAAGCTGCGTGTTGACCCGGCCAACTTCAAGGTACACCATGACAAAACAATAGTATATCACAGTAGTGTAAATAAGTCTACTCATAATGGACATGATAATGTGTTTCTGTTTCTTCCTTTTCTAGATATTCACACACAATGTCATTGTGGTCATCGGCATGCTCTTCCCTGGAGACTTCTCCCCAGAGGTTCACGTGTCAGTTGACAAGTTTTTTCAGAACTTGGCCCTGGCTCTCGCTGAGAAGTACCGCTAAACTTCCAGTGGGCATTCATTCATACGCTACACTGCGCGGCACCCCTAAGCAACTCAAGTGTGATGTCTGAATACAATTTGTCAATAAAAGGCACAGAATTAAACGAGTCATGTCTTATTTTTATCAATAGGCTATATTTGAATCGATCATATGTGTTTTCAAACCCCTTTGTCGGGATAAACTGAAAGCCTATACTTGATTCTCACTGAGCTATCCTTAAAATGATAATTATTTTACCAACTCTTTTTATTTTTTAATTCAAAATTTTACTTACTTTCACATAAACCCTGAACTCTTGGTTCATTAACATTTTATACTCGCTGTTATCGGTTACAAAAACGGAACCGACCGGGAGCAAGTTCAGACAACTCAAACTACGGTTACAGTTACATATGCATTTAGCGGAAGCTTTTTCCCAAAGTGACTAACAAATTGAGAACAGAGGCGGACGTTCTCAACAGAGCACCGAATCCAGGTGTCACCATGGAAGCACCATACTTTTTCTGTTGTTTATTGGCGATTTACATTCTTGTGCATATGGCCACCTGGGCGGTTGTGCAATTTTTATTACTGTGGCCAAAAATTATGTTGTTTATCTGATAAAGTAAAAAAGAAAGATTGATTCAATTAAAACATCAGTCTGCTTGCAAAGATAATTTGGCTGTGTTTTTTTTTATATATTTAAATATTTTGCTTCCACATTTGTTGCTTCCAGTTGTTTTGTCCCTTTGCAAACAAACAAACAAACATTTTGAATCAAATAAATACAAAATAAATCAATTAAAAATAAAAATAGGCCTAAAACAAATATTTGTGTATATATTCATTTTATATAAAAAGTGGGACAAAATCCCGTTTTAGCCAACATCTTTTTCTGAAGACAATCTAACTTGAGAAAAAGAAGACGCAGCAACGAGTCTCTCTGATAAGGACAAGTCTGCTGTGAAGGCCTTATGGGCTAAGATTAAATGAAATCGGCGCTGAAGCCCTCGGCAGGTAATACTGGACCAGGCTACTGTCTTCCTATTTAGGTTAAGATTACTTATTGACAGGTCTATATAGAAACTTCCTAGGTAACTTTGCTAAATAACATGAAAAGTTAATGTTTTCATTTATTCGGTCTTGATTATTGGTCTAAAAGCAACTGTATTAAAATGCCAAAACACTGTAAAATCATTGGTTTCAAATTCAATACAATATCTGCTGTGTCCGAGAGTATTAAGAGTACATATAGTCAGAATGAGAAATACGATTTTGACAGGTTTCTTCAAAAATATGAAAAATTATCTACTGTCTCTTGTTTTCAAAAGTCATTTTAAAAAGCTGAGAAAGGTGGGCTTTAAAATACGTACAATTTATTATTTTTAGCTAGATAGGCTACTTAAGACTTTTAATTGCGAAAAAGTTTTGGCGTATTATCTATACTTTACTGAATTTAAGTACAATTTCAAAGTACTTTTTAACCACAAAAACATAAACGAAACATTATCTAAACTGTAACTTGTGAAATTGACACTAATTCAAACTAATTCTTTAGCAGGCCTTATGTAGGATGGACCAGGGATGAGTTTAAACTATTTGAAATGAGCTACTGGCGTGAAATCACTATCACAAACAAGCACTATGCTTCTGGGGTGATAGCAGAAGCTGCAGTCTCTGTGTACAAATATAAAGAATTTACAAGATAAAAAGCGTGGGGTTAAGAAATAGAAAATTAAAAACAACATCTGAATCAACAGGCTATTGCTGATTTGGATATAGCGTCCACATAAGCTTAAACGTCGAAATTTCATTAAATTATCAGGGCTGAACAGATGGAGAGGATTGAAACAAGTTGTAATAGTATACTTGACCCACAAAGATTGAACAAAACGGGACAGTGTGTAGGCTACATTTGCCACAATTGTAAAAGTGTCTCGTAAAAGTTAAAATGTTTTATAGTTATTTAATATTTTGCGTATGCTGCTTGAATTTTTTTTTTAACAGGAGGATGGGTGTGGTGGGACATGGTACAATGTTTCTTTTGAGTAAGTTCATTTGATAACCATAATAAATTCCTGCAAGTAAAGTAAATGCTGAAATTTTAGTTACAACTCACCGGGTAGTTGGGTAGGTTGTCGCAACAATGCTTGTAATTGAAATAATTTTACACAGTTTAGGGATTATTTGTAGATGTCTGAACTACTTCAATTTGTAGCAGACAAATGTGGGAATATTTTAACGTTTGTTTGAGACAGCCCAAAAAAAGTGTTGCTATTGTTTCAGCAAAATGTGTTAACAATCCCCGATCACCCTATAAGTTTATAAGAAGACAAAGGCAACAGCAAATAAGATTATCCAAGGGCCCAATTCCTGTTTTCAGATGAAATATGCCTCTGGGGATCGTGAGATAATTTATTTCTGTTTTATCACGATTTATCACAGAATTCAGAAAGTGAACACCCATTTCTCCCTATGGACTTATCAAAGATATTATTGAACCTGCAGAGAAAATATGTAGTAAACAGCTCATTAAAAAAAAAAAAAATCTCAGAAAGTTTTTTTTTTCCTGCAGTGTACAGGTGATTTAATATAAGGGCTTTCGACATTTTAAATATTTGATTCGCACAATTTTCATTAGGCTATTTTATCGAAAATAATGACGGAAGAAAACATATGAACTATCTTAACATTTCGCAAAGCCGGTTTACGAATCAGCAAAATATATGGCTTCTTTTTAGATTTCTGTAATTCCCTAAGCCAAAGGAGCCTATGTTTGTGTCCGTAAAGAAACTGTGCGAAAACACTAGACTCATAATAGGCCTACTAAAATATTTGAACAGTGGCTCTCAACCTGTTTTATTCTAATGTCTCTGCAGTCTGCAGTTAGTGTGCTGCTGGAAACTCTAGTGCGGGTTCAGATAGCTTAACCCGATTTGATGCCCTGGGCCGGGTTTCCCAATAACGATGGATCTAGCTCTTAAGAGCTCTCTCTATGTGCAAGGTTAAGAACGCTTGCCGCAATTCCACGTGCGTTTCCCAAAAATGCACTTAACATGAACTGGCCAAAACACGTTCTACGTGCTACTTCGTAAGAGTCGCTGTCCGTTTGTCAAGTGCTGAAATATTACCTTATAGAATCGTATCCTTGAACCTAATAGTCGTCACCGGATGTGGATTAGAAACAAAATACCTTTCAAAAAGATGAAATTAATGTTCTTCTGGAGGAGGTAGTGCGAGATGTCATTTTCAGCCGTTTTAAAGGACACCATACAAATAAGGAAAAACAAAACATATGGGAGGACTTTGCTACAGAATTAACTGCAACCATGGGTGTTAAGAGATCAGGGTAGGAGGTCCGCAAGAAGTGGCAGGACTTTGCAAGCCTGGCAAAAAAGCAAGAGGGCACTGCAGAGGATGACAGTTAAAAAAAAACAGGTGGTTGGACCAATGACTCTCCCCTTCTCGCAGCAGAGGAAGAAAATGCCTTGTCAATACTTCAGATGGCATTTGTGGTGGTATTGACCCTCATGGAGGAGTAGGGATGCCTCAACCTGAGCCTGAGTCAGGCCCTTCATGCTCAGAGGAACTATCAGTTTCACCTGCCATCTCCCAGCACCAACCATCTCCTAGTCCTCTGAACAAAGCTCTCAGGCCTCAGCCTCCATCTTCAATTGTCCAGACTGCAGCCACAACACCTCAGTAGTTTGAGAATGTCTGTGGTTGTAGTCAGGACTTAGTGCAGCTGGAGAGATGTCTTGAAAGACATTAGACAATGTCTTAAAGAGGCCAATAGGAGGAACAACAATATTTCAACAGCAGCTATTTGACTTCAAGAAGGCCAAGCTGGCTTTAGAGGAGAGGAGACTTGCACTGAAGGAGATGAGGCTTGCAAGGCCCTCCATTTCTGTGCCAATTATCTTGCCAGCACAGTCAAGTACCGTAATATGATTGTTTTATGGTGATTAAATGAAGTTTCTATAATTTCAATCGATAACTTAAATCTATAAAACTATGCTGATTCAACGTTTTTGATGTCCATGTGTTTGTTGAACCACCCAAGGCCTAAGGCCCTATGAAATATAAGAATTCTTATGAGTTCTTCCAAGTGTTTCTGGAGTTAATGACTAATGGTTGATGGATATTTTTAAACATAAACATGTAAGTTTAGATGTTATTAATATATAAAGTGTATATATTAAGGGTGATAGTACCACAAATATATGTACTTCATCCAGCCAATACATTTCTACAGTTACAGACAAAAAAGAGTTTATTGCAGACTTGTTCTATCAGCACTATTCTATGTATACAGTACATATTTATGATATCATGTGTATTTTTATTTTTTCATCTTCTTCCCTTTTCTTTTTAATTATTTTCATAAGTTAATTTAAACAACGCTTTACGATTACTCCAGAGCACTCGTAGATCTACGATGATTTTCAAGTGCTACTTAAGTTACGATGCTTTTGGGAAACAGACCGTTATACTAAGATCAGTCTTACGGTCGTTTTTACGATCTTCTTAGGCTTACGATGCTTTTGAGAAACGCAGCCCTGTGCAGTTGTAATTGCCATCATGCAATATGTGACAACCATGCTATAGACCTCTGCAGCAGATGTAAACTTATTAATCAGTTATTAAGAATCAAATTTACATTAGTTGGTGCTTAAGTAGGCGATGCCTTGATAACGTTATAGGCTAGGCTACCTATAGCCTACGGATTTCTTTCCTGCATAGCCTACATCTGTGATACGAAGGCTTCAAAGTGTCACATTTTCTTTGTGAATATGATAGGCTACATCAGGTCAGATAATGTCGTTGTCCGCTCCACAATCATTCTGAAACTGGCTCAAGAGCGCCACACGAACGGCAAGTATCCACTGGCTCGATGTATGCGAAGCTGAGAGGGAGTCTCCAAAAATATTCTCGCGCAGGGAATTGTAAGATTGACTGATGAATTTAGTGCTTAAATCACATCGTCGTTACATATAGGTTATTACCATATTCTATTAATAGGCTATTTCTAAAGCAGTTTGGACGATATTGTGACTGTGACCGAGTGAACAAAAGAGTAGCCGATTAATCTGAAACGGTGTTTAAGGCCTAGATTTTGGGCATTAACCGAAAGGAATCGCATTTTACAGACACCCCGAAGCAGTAGACCTCAAGCGACACTGAGTGAATTTCTTTCGCGCCTAGCTCTTACTAATATCTAATAAGGTTGTAAGTATGATGGTATTATCATATAGGCCTAGGCTACTTGTATTAACATAAGCCTAACAGTGACATATATAAATAATAATAATAATAAATAGGCAATAAATCGGCTATATACTTCAAATGTAGCCAATGCGTATTTTTATATAAAATCTGTTTTATTTTTATAGGTATTCCTGTATATAGGCTATCTTTACATCAAATAAAATATGTGACCCTATCTGTGAAATCCAGGCTAAAGTATCAAAATCTAATTATGAGATAACAAGCATCAAAATTTGATTTCAACCATTAATTTCACTATGAGTTCAATCTTTGACATAGTCTTACTCAGTCAGTAATAAAGATATCAATGTTACATTTTCACAGAATGTTCTTTACCATATGATAATGATTTTATATAGAAAACAGTAAATCACCAAAAAATTACTTTAGCTGGGTTTTCACAGACAGGGTCACATATGTTAGTGAGAGAGAGAGAGAGAGAGAGAGAGAGAGAGAGAGAGAGATTGGCGCCCCCTGCTGATTACATTTAGTTGTGTTTTGTTCTGTTCTGTTTAATTTCAGATTTGTTATATTAGCCATGTTAATACATATGGACAGCAGGGGACGCTAAAAGACTTGTGATGCAAGACTTTAATATTATAAGCGTTATTATACGCAATACCTCGACTGCCTAGAGTTTATCAGAATATAATCTGTAGCAAATTTTGCCTAGATATTCAGATTTGGTATAGGCCTAATGGAAAACGTTCTACGCACGTTGCAAAATGTACGTTTTTATACAAAATTAAGGAGATGTCTCTTTTAAATACAATACGGAATTTTAGATAAATAATTATTCAAATTATATTTTGATTGAGGAAACTGTAATGTCAAATACAAAAGTCACTATGTTTGATTTGGTAAATATGCGGTAGCCTGCAACTCTCATGGGGAGACCATCAATTATGAGCAATTATTTGTCTATTAAAAACGTAAACAGAAAACGGAGAAGCAGAGATCTGAGAAAATTTTGAAAAATGGTTTCTCTTGTCAGATACTAAATTCAATTTCTCTGTTCAGAATTCCATATGTATAAAATATGTATTAATATGTATATAATCTGTCATATGTCTTTATTATTTAGCCTATATCTAGCCTGTCATATATAATCTATATCATCCGATGACAATAATTGTTCTTTTAAAAAAAACATTGCCATAGTAAAATAAGTTATAACCAGAATCCATAGTCTCATTAGGCCTATTGTTGTTTCTATTTATTTATTTATTTATTTATTTTAATCTCGGCAAAATACATAGGATTAACTCTTTGCAGATATTAGAAGAAAAAAGTAGGCTATGATATGCATCTCTTGGGTGGACGTGGCTGAACCAACCCACAAACTTGTCACCCAATAGCCTGCCAAGGGGTGGGGTGATGAAGCGCATTTAATGTTTCCGTATTCAATATGCAGCGTACCCTGTGTTCTTTTATATTCGCATGCAGGGCTGGACTGGGACAAAAAATCGGCCCTGGCATGTTTTGGTCCAGGCGGCCCACCACATATGTGTGTATATATATATATATATATATATACCCCAAAGAAAAGAAGCTAAAAGGTCAAAGTATATGATTTCCAATTAATAAAAATAAGTAACAACTGTGTACAACATACACTGAAAAAAATGATTCATTGAATTTGCTACATTTTTTTAAGGTAAGTGGTTGCAATCAATTTATTTTAGCTACATTTAAATAAACAAATTTATTTGACTAACTTTCAACATTTTTTTAAATTAAATGTAGCTAAAATAAATTGTTTGCGACCACTTACCTTTAAAAGATTTAGTAGCATTTTTTTTCAGTGTATAGGCTACTAATTTAAAATGTTGCCAGTAATCTTCACACTAAGGGACAGCAAAGACCTCCTCAAAGAATGCAACCTTTATAAGAATAAGAGAGGAAGGCGGAGAATAAGTTAATAAATTATGATTTTTTAAACAGTGATTACAGTATCTTTAATATTGAAAGTTAAGTATTTGAATATATTGCGAACTCACAAAATAAAAAATGGTGTGTGAATATCCCAGCTCATTGTTTTGGATAAGAATAAAACATCAGGTCATATTTAAATCTAGATGTATTCGCATTGGCCCATGGAAACCTCTGTGAACACACTTGACTTGGCCAAAAAAAGAGCAAGGGACGAATTTTCGTTTTATTAAAAAGTGTTTACGTATTCTACACTCATGGTGCGCACACGCATTAGGAAAGGTTACATTCCTCCGTTTCCCCTTCATGCGAGCCCGTTATCGAGCTCCTTACCGATTAAACACCTCTCGTTCTCTTGCCTGTCCCTTTGGCCCGCATCACTCACAGCAGAGCAAGCCTGTTCTTGATAACGCTGCTGTATACATTTCGCAACTGCCGACGACGAGGCACATTTTGCGGCATCCGCCTCTAAATTTTTAAGCTACTTTTCCCTGAGCTTTTCAGCACCAACGTTTCGCTTTGGTCTGTCCATTTTGAGAGACCGAGAGGAAGGTGGAAGAATCACTGTGCAATTTCATTTACACTGTATATGGATTTTTTTTTGTTTAAAAAATATATAAATATATATTCTGTGTATTTCTGTATTTTTATGTTTTACTTCAGGTGAAGCGATATTTACATAGGCGGAGCAAGATCCCGTATCACTCCGTCTATATGTGATGGGCCGCTGTCCCTGCATGATGGGCCGGTCCTTGGCGGAAAAAAAAAAAATTGTACCGGCCCAAAAGTGCGTCGACCCACCGGGAAAATGCCCGGTATGCCAGACTACCAGTCCAGCACTTTTCGCATGAATTCACACATTGTGTCTTAGGGATTGCTGCTGCTGCAGACAGCTTTTGAAGCTTTTGGTATAAGCTGTTTCTAATGGATCATCTTTTATTAAAATAGGCATCAAGTTCGTGCATAACCTAATCTGATTACCTCTTTTAGTAATAGGAGACTATCAAAATAACTTTAATAAGGACAGATAGTAGTAGGCATATTCCAAGTTTTATTCAAATGATCCAACGTGTATATCACCAAAATACAATTGTTATTTGATTTAAGGAATAGTCCGTTACTTTAGCCCTCAAAGACCGAGACAGCCTCCCGCGGCTAAAAATAACTATTGTTTTTAATGTTTAATAACTTTTGAACCGCTAATCCTATCTGAATGCTTTAAAAAGTGTTGTAAAGCGGAGATTCTCCCAGAAACACCCAATTGTTGCTTGCGTTTTTCATAAAAATCTGGAAATTCATTCATTCTTAGAGAAAACAAAAGGAAAATTGGGACTTTAGGTCCCTGGTCATTGTCGCCAATCAATGATGTAATATTCGCATATCCTCAGTTTCCGCTTGTAGAAAATATGGCAACACACAGACACAAATGCTGCTGTACAGTTAAACTAAATCCATTGCGGCTGTCACGAATAAAATGCAAATGAAATGAAAAGTGTTGACCGCAGCATTACATTTAGATCTGCTCAGTGTTGCGCCATGATTTTTTATGCGTTTTTACAGTGTAGCGCATTATAACCAATCACACACGAGTCTGTTGAGTTTATGAACGCCGAGTCTGTTGAGCTTATGAATGCAATGGCCAATCAGAGGCGTTCAGATGAGTTTTTGTTCAGTGCACGGCGCTCGCTGACTGAATTCAGCTCTCAGGCGAATTCTCTCATCATAAGCAACAAAGCGCAGATGTACGTATGATGTAAGAGATTCATTAATAAAATGACCCCACTTTAGTATCTAATTAGGCTATATGTATTATATCATAATGTAGGCCTATTAAATATATAACTAACTATTAGTATAATATATAACTAATTATTAGTATAATATATACTAATTACTATTTTAACCCCTTTATTAATGTATATGTAAACAAAAGTAATAATAACACACTGAACTTTGAAAAATAACTTTTTATAAAAAGCTTTTTAAAAAGTTTTACCGACCAGTAACGGCTCATTTGTTAGATTTCAAAAGTTCATAACTGAAGCCAAATGGAGCAAATTAAATGTAGTCATTATTATTTACTCAATTAAAAGAGAAATTATTCCAAACATCTCAGCGAAAGTAAATGTTTCCACAATTATTTTTACTTAAAGTAGCTACTTTATTTATATGCAATTGTAAAGAAGTACGCAAAATATTTTTTCTTGAGGAAAAAAGTAACTATATTTTCTACTAGTAATATATTTTCAGTAAGTGGATATATTGATGATAAGTGACATATCTTTGCACGTTGAAGGACTTAAATTGCAACAATTGTAAAACCCTCCAAAACTAATGAAGTTAGTAGACTAATTAGCAGACTAATGAAGTTCAATTACTCAAGTGCTCTGCCTTCACTAATGCTTATTTGAGAAATTATTTAGCAATATGCTTATTTAAAAGTTTTTTTAAGTTTAAAGTTGATTTATTTATTTTCTTATTTGGTTGTGTGGTTGGTAATTTTATGTTTGATTAATGTCAACACTAGATAAAACAACATTACTTCCATGTCCATTGGCTGGTTCTACAGAATGAATGAAACAATATTTGTGTTCTGATTTAAGACTGTATCTAGTCTCTCACCATTCTCAACACTGACTGCTGTATGACAAAAACATGCACCAAAGACTTAGTTAAAGTTTTTCATAATCATTTATTCCATCATAATAAGACTGAATGTTTATACAGGCATCCATCTGGTCTGACGCGGTCCGACTCGAAGACAGTAACATGCGCTTATCTGTACTTCTCGGACAGAGCCAGAGACAAAGCACTGAGGAACTTGTCCATAGCAACATGGGCCTCTGGAGTGAAATCGGTGGGGAACAGAATGGCCAGAACCACGAGGATGTTGTGGGACAGAATCTATGGAAAAACGAAACAAAAGTTTACCGTGACTAGGAGAGTAAGACAGAATCGGAGATGACTAAAGGTGAAATTCGTTGCATTTACTTTGAAATTGGCGGGGTCAACACGCAGCTGGAAAGCATGAAGCTCGCTGAGGTTCAGGAGCCCAGAGGTAAGGTCATCGATTTTGCTGACAGCCTCAGCGACGCCGCTCATCACAGTCTTCCCGTGCCTCCTCACTGGGGCAGAGCCGGGGCTCAGGTCTTTCCAGTGAGAGAAATAGGTTTTGGTCTGGGGGTAGACCACCAACATCCTAGACAGACAGTGAATTGAATTACAGATATATATGCCCGAAGAAAACATTATGACGTAGCATATTACAACACACCATTAATAACCTTACCTAGAAAGAGCATCCTGACCAATGTCATCAGCCTTTCCTGAGATTTTGGCCCAAAGGTCTTTGACAGCAGCTTTGTCTTTGGCAGAGAGACTCATCGTGGAAGGATGAATTTACAGCAAACTTCTGTAGGCTTCTGACAAGAGGACTGACAGTTTTATACTGCCATCAGGAAGATACACCCAAGACCCTCCTCTCACCCCCAAAGATGATTTATCAGAATGTGCAAGATTGCCAAAATTTTCCACTTTTTTCTCATGACATACTTTTTATTTTCTATCCACTTTATTCAATTAATTAGCAATTCATTAAATTGAAAATTGTTTTTTTATGTAGCTAATAAATCAACCACCTTTAACTCGAATGAATATACGGCGATACTCCTATAAACATTTCGTTTGTTTGGGTTACTGAAACAGCTTTCCACACAACAAGCAATTAAAAATATATGTAGGCCTATAGTGTACAACTGGAACCAAGGGACAGTTGAAACACATCAAATAACTTGCCTGCACATCACAATCGACCCATGATTTTTGCTCCACACATGCATGGTAGTGCCCTCTTCAATTCGAGATTAAAAGGATGCACGATTCTCTAATCCAAAGATATCGAACAAAGTCTATTTTTAGGGATACGATTTTTACTTCACCGCCTCTCTTTAACATGGAATATCTGCTTGTCATTTTATGAGTAAGACGGACCTTTGATGCCTACGATCTCTCCTCAAAAAATGTTTCATAACATGGTGCTCTTTGGTGTTTTCGTGCAAATTAGAGAAATGTGCGGGGTGGTCAGCGGGGACAGGGGTACAGATGAAAAACACTGTATCAACTGTACCGAACTGATGGAGGCCACAACTGCAACTGACTCTACAATTAGTAATTGAGTAATATAAGCTGAGTAACTAATGAGTATGAGTGAGTTACTCACTTGGCTAACTGCTCAATTAAATATCATTCGACTTGTTTTTATGGTCGTACGATCAGCTGATTTTTTTATGTCTTTAGTGTAAAACTATTGTTCAACGTTTTAGAGATCAACTATTCCTATGTGAACTCTTAATCAATTGTTCAGTTATTTACTGATGAACTGTTGGCTGTTTAACTCTTAGATGTTCTGCTATTGAATGGGAATTTATTAAGTTGTATATGATAAAGTACAGTAATAACATGAAGAGCTGAAATTAAATGATTTTTTTGTCGAATGATAAGACGCTTTAACATTTGAAATAAGTTATAGGCTACTTTAAAGCATTAAACATGTTTCAATTGTATGGGAACTGTAACAAAAGTACTTCTTGTCTTTATGAACTAACTGTAATAATGAAAATATTAACTATTTATTATTATTCATAATTTGTTTAGTTAGTAGACAACTGAAAGAAACACCACATGAATAAATTAGGCTACATAGTTTTTGAGTGTTATGCAGAACACGTGTTGATAATTATGGAACATACAGTTCAACAAAACTAAAATGTTCAGAATTCCCTATTTATAAAAGTATTCTATCATATGTATTTTTATTTAAGTCTCTCATATGCAATCTATATAATCCGATTAATATAATTGTTCTTTAAAAATGCTGACACATTAAAATAAGTTAAAAACAGAATCCCGTTACTGGTATTTTTATCTAAAATATTGTTAGAATTAACTGTTTAGGTTTAGTCTTTGCAAATATTAGAAGAAAAAAGTAGGCTATGATATGCATCTCTTGGGTGGACGTGGCTGAACCAACACACAAACTTGTCACCCAATAGCCTGCCAAGGGGTGGGGTGATGAAGCGCATTTAAAAGTACCGCTGAGACTCTCTCTCTTCACAGCACTCTTTAGCATCTGTTAGAGGCAGTCAGTCTGAACATCTAAAGTCGGAAACATGGTTGTGTGGACAGAATTTGAGAGGACCACCATCCAGGACATCTTCTCCAAGATGAACTACGATATCGTTGGTCAACAAGCTCTGGCAAGGTATTGAGTCCTGGCATTAACTTAAAGCGGGCAACTAGTTTACAGACAGCGATCTAATAAAATGCTCTTTCTCTTCGTTCTGGTTTGTAGATGTCTTATCGTTTACCCCTGGACCCAGCGGTACTTCGGCAATTTTGGAAACATGTACAATGCCGCTGCCATCATGGGAAACCCCATGGTTGCTGCTCACGGTAAAGTCGTGCTCCATGGCCTGGACAAAGCCGTGAAGAACATGGACAACATCAAAGCCGCCTATGCCGAACTAAGTGTGCTGCACTCCGAGAAGCTCCACGTAGATCCTGACAACTTCAGGGTAAGTTAATAATAATGTTCATTACCAAGACTTGTTCTGACCTCAGTGTTCATGCCTCCCGTCTGTCTATATGACACTGCCCTTGTGTCCTCCCACAGCTTTTGGGTGACTGCTTAACCATCGTTGTTGCTGCTCAACTGGGCGCTGCATTCACACCTGAGGTCCAGGCCGCTTTTCAGAAATTCCTCGCCGTCGTGTTCTCCTCCCTTCGAAGACAGTACCACTAGAAACAAAACCTGCTTTTACTGTTACACAGAGGATCATCTGATGTTTAAACAAAAGAACATGTTCTTCTGAGTTGAAGCAAATACATGTTTCCGTATTCAATATGCGGCGTATCCTGTGTTCTTTTATATTTGCATGAATTCACATATTGTTCATTCATTTATTCTTATATTTCTTTGAAAGAATATGCGATTTCCAACTAAAATAATTTACAGTTAGAATTAGTTATAAATAGTATATTGAAATATAAGGATGCCTTTTCAGAGAGGTAACAGAATTGGACAGTTCTACAGTTATTTTAGCCAAAACAGATACAAATATTAGCACAAATACACAAGACAAACATCGGTTGTTCCAATTGTTCAATTATTATTTACATAAATAATGGTAACATATTTGAAGTTGAAATCGTCTAAGCTACTGACAAACATAACCAAATACAATTTACTTGTTCTTGCAGAGTTCACTGATGTTATTTAAGCAATAGTGCGTTATTTTAACAATGGGTGTTATGATTGTAAGTGTTGATTCAAGGGCACTTCAAGGCTTGAATTGTCTTATATATAAAATAATAAACAACAAACATAAAAATATATAAAATAAAACGAAGGAATTAATCAATTAATAACTTCCAATATGAAAAAAAAAAATCAAACAAACAAATTCTACATACATACGTATATAC